CACACACACACACTCGTATATGCCCTAGTAACCCATGGGGTGGGAAGAGAAACGAAGATTAATAATTGCTTTCTGTAACAACGGCCATGTAGAATGCCGGGGGTGGGATAGTCTGACAAGGACACGTGGGGATACAGTTGCTTGTGCTTTAGGACCGATGGTTTCATGTCTGGGTGTGCAATGACCTAGAGGCACTCATGCCTGTGCAGAAGGCGACAGTCTCTGGGATATCTAGGACAGCAACACCTGAAATGCAAAAAATAGGTCTTGGCCACCGTAGCATCGACATTGACAACAATGGAAGAGACAACCAAAGCTGTGGCGCCTGCCAGTTAATACAAGCAGAATGGATGGCTATTCATCTTATTGTTTTCTTCTAGTTTGGCTTTTTGAGACAAGGTCTTGCTATGTCACTCTGGCTGGTCTGCAGCAATCCTCCTGCCTCAGCCTCTTGAGTGCTGGGATTACAAACATGAGCATCACTTATTCCTGTCTGAAGTTTTTGTTTTGTTTTGAGACAGGGTCTCATGTAGCCCAGGCTGGTCCAAGCTCATTAGGCAGAAGCAGAAGTCTTTGAATACTTGATCCTTCTGCTGCCAACTCCCAAATGCCAAGATTACAGGTGTGTGCTGCCACAACCAGCAGGGAATTTTATTTTCTGAAAATTACACCTTGATAAGACTGATATGGCCACACATATGTACAGTATGTATATATTCTGTATCACCCTGAATAAATCTAGAAACAGTTGCAAAAGGAGATTACAGAGCAATACCATCAGTGGCGATATAAGGTCAATAAACTTAAAAAAAACAAGATCATGTCATTAATAGAGATGAACAAGGTACAGCATCTGCGGTGATCTTTGGGAAATGGAGCTGAGACTTCTGGGCAAAGATTTCTGGTTTGTCAGGAACACTTTGTCTCTCCCACAGGCATACATGCAAGCATGCACACACTCACACTCACACAACAGCTGAAGGGAAAATTATAGGATGTTTATATTTGCCAATTAGGTTGTTTTATTCGCTTATCTTTTCAATGTTTAAATTGACCTTTTTTTTTTCAAAGGAAAGGCACCAGCTCCTACCTGGGAGGCAGGGGTAGGGTCCTGGAGGAGGTGACCACTGAATGCTGAAGGGAGAGTGGGTGATGGCAGGGTTACCCAGTGCAGGGAGCTGGGGAAAGGGAGTGTGGAGGGTCCCAGGTGGCGCTGAAATGCTGAATGACTTGTGTTTATCAAGGGGCCCTTTCCCCACCATCTTCCCATCCTCTATGATTTCGACATTTCTGTATTTGGACCGTGTGCACAGTAAACAGGGTCCTAGGAAAAACTGTATTGTGTAATTTTGAGACTTTGTTTATTTTAAAGATTTATTTATTTTTGGTTTTTAGAGACAGGGTTTCTCTGTATTGTTTTTGAGGCTGTCCTGGAACTCTCTCCGTAAACCAGGCTGGCCTACAATTCACAGAGATCCGCCTGCCTCTGCCTCCCGAGTGCTGGGATTAAAGACGTGCGCCACCAGCGCCCCGGCTAAAGATTTATTTTTAATTATGTGCGTTGTCTGGCTGGGGAGGGTGTGTATATATACGTGCATACAGCATCTGTAAAATCTAAAACCATCAGATCTCCTGGAACTAAAGTTAGAGGGAGTTGTGAGCCACCTGATATGGTGCTGGCAACCGAACTCTGGTCCTTTGGGAGAGCAAGGCATGCTCGTAGTCACAGAGCCATCAACCTCTGCATCGCTACTGTGGTACCTTCTGAAGTCCAGCTAACCTGATGAGGTCTGGGGAAGCAGTAAGACAAATGGAAGTCCCACGTTAAGATGAGGAAGTCACCATCCATACAGAGAGACGATAGAATTCTTGAAGAATACTTAGTTCAGCCATGTGCAAATCCATTTGAAAGCTAGCTGAAACGGTAGTTTTCTGGGGAAATGTAAATAATCAGTTTGACTCAGAAGAGCTGGGAAACCAAACAAACTGATAATTAGGGGAGGGGCCAAGTCCTCAAAATCCCTAAAACAATCAAGTTTAGACAGTGTCTGTTGACCCTTGAAGGACTGGATAATGGGAATGTCACTGAAGTATCACCAACCACACCAGGTCTTAGGGAAGGAGAGGCTCCAGGCCACTCTGTGAAGCCAGTGCCACACTGATAACAGAGCACAGCACAGCTGGCACATGTTGCCCAGCCCATTCATAACTCACAAGCTAAGGAGCAGAATGAACGTTCATCTGGGAATATTGGTATACACATGTAAGCTAAGTAATAAATAGAGTCATGCAACATTGTATTTTATTTACTTCTAATTAAAATTTTAAGGTGTTATTTATATTTTGTATGAGAGCTCTGCATGCACACCTGAACACCAGGAGAGGGCATCAGATCCCATTGTAGATGTCTGTGAACTACCATGTTGGTGCTGGGAATTGAACTCAGGACCTTTGGAAGAGCAGCCAGTGCTCTTCACCTCAGGGTCATCTCTACAGCCCCCTCTTAATTAACTTTTTAAGATTTATTTTATATGAGTGTTTTGCCTGCTTGTCTGTGTGTTCATCATCTACATTCCTGGTACCCATGGAGATCAGAATGCCTGGGACTTGAGTTATAGATGGCTGTGAATCACCAAGTGAGTGCTGGAAACCAAATCCAGGTCCTCTACAAGAGTAACATGTGCTCTTAACCCAAGAGCTGTCTCTCCAGCCCCTATTCTTGATCTTTTAAGACAGGATTTCATGTAGCCTAGGCTGACTCACTGCACATCCCACATCTTCCTGTTTATACCTCTTGAGTTCTGGGATTATCAGCACACACCACCACACCCAGCACAGGGCCTAAAGGGTGTTTCTTAAATATTGATATATGTCTTTGTGTGTGTGTGTGTGTGTGTGTACATGAGTATTTGTGCACACACACACGTGTGTGTGTGTGTGTATTACATCCAACATTGTTCTACATCCTTTACCTGAAATATGATGTAATATGTGCTTGGGAATGTTCCACAAGTGTTTGAGACATGTGTATCTGGGAGCTGCTGGGTGGGGAGAGAGAGAGAGAGAGAGAGAGAGAGAGAGAGAGAGAGAGAGAGAGAGAGAGAGAGAGCATGGAGAGAGAAAAGGAGGGAGGGGAGAGAGAAAGAAATATCTGACCTGATGGCAATAAAGAGTTCTGAATTGAGAAGTGAACAATTTTCAACTCATATTGCCAAAGCTGAGGAGTTTAATAATGGATAGGGGACAGAAATGAGCTAGATACAATGGTGTGTCTAAAAGTGTAATCATGAAACTCATTCTGAAGTATGCTAGTTAGAATAATAAGGTATGTTGAAAACCATCATTAAAAAGGTGAAAATGTGCCATTCTGTTGAAAATGCAGAGAAACTGACAACTGTCTGTATTGCTGGGGCACTGCAAACTGCTTCGTTTTGCAGGACAGTTTTGCCATTTATATTAGTATATAAGGGCTGCATAACCTTCAACCCAGGGTTTTCTAGAGCCAACCCCATAAGTTTTTATTGCAACTTCTTGCATCAACACAGGGAAGCAAACCAAAATGGATGCATGCAGCACCTATAACCTTAACACTTGGGGGCTAAAATAGGAAGATGACCAGTTCCAGACCAGCCTGGCCCACACAGCTGCTTCAAGGCTGATTACGGTCACAGAAAGGCATGGAGGGTCCACCTAAGTATGCAGCAACAAGGTTGGAATCATGTGATGTGTAGGGCTTGACTCAGTGGAATTCTATTGAAAACTGTTGGCTGTAGAGATGTGTGACGTCTATTAATGAACAAAGCAAAGACTGTCAGGAACATGAAGGTGTAGGGATAAGTGCACATATATCCATATTTAGGGAATCTTAGAGAAAGCTACAGCAGGGACAGGACTATCTCTGTCTTTAGAAATGCAGCAGAGCCCTGGGAAGGCAAGGACAGCATGCCCAATTCTGTTTCCATTGTGTAATTACCTTGAGTGGACTCTTTCCATAGTGTGTTGTTTTCAGAATTTAAAAAGAATATTTTAGAAGAAATCACTTGTGAAGAGAGAAAATTATTTAAAATGTCCCACCCTGAACTTCCTTTTTGTTCTTTTTTGAAGGTCTGGGGTTCAGACCCTGGACTTCATGCTTTCTGGGCAAACTCTCTGCCACTGAATGACATCCTGGCCCTGAATTTCCATTGTGAATTCCCTTTTCTGTGGGCTCATCTTGTCTTTCATTGGCAATGTCAGGTCTGGAAGGATCCACAGGAGATTATCCCTCCTTTCCTTTTGTTCCCAAGGAAACAAAACCTAGAGATGTGTCACACAAACTGCCTGGAGTCCCTGGCTAGTCTCTTCAGACTTTGGGCTCCCCTGCTATTGTTTCAGGGAAGGGACTGAGGATGCCGTGCAAATTGCAAAGCCTTATCCTTTGGTTTGTCTACCGTCTCCCAGTGTATGCACTGAGTTTTACTCCCGTACCTCTGTGGTCAAGATGTGGACATGTGGGTCCCTAGACACCTTCCTGGACATTTGTCCTTCATGGGCCAGGCAAGGGGCCCCTCAGTAGGCATTCCAGTAAGGTCTCCTCAGATGACTCTGAAGGAAGAGATGGCTGTGGCCCCTGTGTGACCCCCTTCACAGCAGCACTGCTGGTTTACTCTGTATCCAGGCTGAAGCTCCCATCCCAGTGAGGGAAAGCAGGACGCTTCAATTCATCAGAGGACAAGGCACAGAACCAGAGTGGCCTGGAACTCCAGGATAGGGCTCCATGTCTGTCCTTCTTCCTGCTCAGCTTGGATGGCTCGCTGAGGTCATGTGTTGAGCACTCGTTGGCCTCTGGGGTGCCCTTTGCCCTACCAGAGCTCTCCCCAGTGGCCCAGTGGGAAGATGCTGACAAGCACATTGGGTCTAGGAGGGACCTGGCCAGCTAGGGCTTGGGGAGGAGCTGTTTACAGAGGACTGGGATCCCTGCCTGCCTATCCTGAGAACGTTCTATTGTCCCTTTGCCACAGAGCTTTGAAGGAACCACTTTGGTGGTGCGGAACTGGTGGTGAGACTCTGCAGGATCACCTGGAGGTACCTCTTCCCAGGGACTGGTTGAGGACAGGAAGGCCTGGGAACATAATCTTTCAGCCTGGACTCTCACCAACACCTGCTGCCCCAGGTAGGTGCCCCTGCCATCATCCCACAACCCTCGAACTGGTCCCCATCCCCATAACCTTGGGAAATGTGGCCCTAGGGTTGTCTAATAGAGCACTTGGGAAAGGTCCTCCATAGACGTCTTTAACCATAGCCTGACAGGAGAGGCAGGAGGGACCTGATCCCTCTGCACAGGGCACCATCTCAGATGGCTCAGGCTCCTGAGGTTGGAGGGAAAGTTGAGGGCTGTGGGTATCTTGTCTTCTGATGATTGTCAGTGTGCCAGGCTGAGCTCCTAGCTGGGACTGCTGCATGGAGGGTCTTGCCCAGCTGCTCTGGTGTGGTGAGCAGGCTCAAGGCAGGTCCAGACGATGCTCTTCTGAGCGCTCCCTGACCCTGAGAACTCTTTCCCCTGGAAAGGACTAAGACAGATAGTATCTTCAGACTGCTGGAGCTGGAAGGGTCTTACTGAGCTGATCCAACCCAATCCCTCCTTACTTCTTGAGCATCAATTCGTATCAACGGTGAATCCAGATGTTGGCATCTCCCAGGAATCGGGTGTAATCTCGCCCAAACCACACGGGGAGCTCTCTGTTTCAGCTGCCTTCTTCCTGCTGGCTCAGCCCAGCTTCTGCCCCGGGTACCTTTCCTCTCCTCTACCATACGGTCATCTCAACCAGCTCACACTCCTTTGTCCGACACCCAGTGGCTGAGTGTGTAAGAAGCAGGTGAGCACCTAGGGGAGTCTTTCCTCCCTATTTCAGAGGTGAAAAGGCAGATTGAATCTTGGAGAGAGGATGGTGCAGCCCTGGAAGTGGAGCAGGGAGGCTGGAATAGGGTTAGCTCTCTCCTCTGAGAGCGCCTAAGGCCTCTCTCTCCTGAAGGAAAAGGCTGCTTCCTACGGGCTGCTGGCCAAGAGTACTGCGCTTGTTTGTTATCCGCTAAGGTCCTCTTAGATCTAGTTCCTTTTCTGTGCAAAGCTCTCAGTGTGCCTGCAGCCTTTGTGACTCCCTCTTCCTTTCCCAGGAGAGCCTTCCAGACCAGGTGGCCTCGGCTGCATGCAGCTTTCTTCTCTGTAGGTGGCTGTGGAAAGCTACTGACAGCTCGGGGCTTTGCAGCCAGCCGCCAGCCTCACCATCTTTGTGTGCCTCAGTCTCTAACCGTAAAATGGGGTAGGGAGAGACAGGAGAACCCTAAGGTCACTGAGGGCTAAGTAGATTAATACCTGTAGAGTGCTTGGGACAGCGTCTAGCACTCAGTAAGCAGCTCTCCCATTACCCCTGCTCACTACCGATGCCTCTTCTCTCCCAGGCCTACTCAGATGCTTGATTAACTTCACTAAAGCACTGAGTAGCCATCTCACTCCCTGGGCATACAATCATCCATGGCTCCCTGTGGCCTGTGCCCTAACCTGCCCTTGAAGGGTCTTGAAAGCAGAAACTGGCTGTATCCTATTTACATTGTACACTACGAGGATAGTAATAACGTCTACTGAGACAGCATTTTTACTCTCAAGTGGAGAGGTGTGTACTGAATTCCCAAGTAGGAGTGTAGCGACGTGCAGCCCCTACACGGCTTGAAGGTTTAATTCAAGCTCTGCCTCTCGGCCACAGCCCTGATGTAAGCACAGCTAGATATGGGCCTCGGGCTCCACTGGATAAGGGTGGCTCTGGTTTCATCTGGGTTTGTGGGACTGCAAGTGCAGTATCCCTATTCTAGACTCCAGCCCTATCCACATCAGAGAGGGGGGAGGTCGGGTGGCCACTGCCCAAAGCAGGCAGGGACTGCAACATTCTTTCAAGTTCAGGCCAGCCTGCAGACATGAAGTCATTGTCCTTGGCTCCAGTAGCTCTGGGCTGCTGGAGGTTGGCCAAGAGTGCACAAGATCAGCACCCTGGACAGAGCACCCTGCACCATCAACCCTGCGTTCCCCAAGGTGGAGAGGCTGCGCACCAGGGAGGCTTGAATGTAGGGAGTAGGACAGGCCTGCGGTTAAAAACAAGTTCTTTTCCAAACGCAGAGGTGTTGGTTGTCCCATCTGTAAAATGGAGAGAATAACTCCCCCTGCAGAGAGTAGAGGTCACCGGGGTGGGGTGGGGCAGCCGGGCAGCACCCTTGCACGGGGCCAACTTCATCTCAATCAGATCCGTAGACAAAGCTGTTCTTCCCAGTGCTCGTCCTGCAGCGGGCCCACTTTCCCCAGGTGCAATGTGCCTTGCAGGCTACAGGCTCCATTCCAAGATGACAGATGACTGGAGATTTAGACGGGGGCGAAGGAGGATCAGTAGTTCAAAGCTTCCAAGATTCCTGGCAGGGTGAGAGGCAAGGAGGGAAGTGACACAATTCTGTCTGATTTTCTCTGAGATTTTTCCACAAGGAGCCTCAGGCGCTGCCAAGTCCCAGGAAGCGAGGGTGTGGTGCCAGGAAGGGAGTAGACCGAGACGTGCTGGTTCCCGCAGGGCAGGCTTTCCTCCTTAACGAGCTCAACAACAGTGTGCTTGTGCTTGGATTATGGGCTCCAGGCTGGGCACTGAGATCAGAAGCGTGTAAACATGATTCTGTCTTTCCCAGGCCATACCTCTGCTGGAGAAGGGCGGGACATCCAGCAAGCAGCTAACCTTCACTGAGTTTAGCATTATTTATCCTTACTCTCTTAGAGACAGAGTCTCACTAAGTAGCCCAGGCTAGCCTCAAACCTGTATCAATGTTCCTGCCTCAGCTTCGCAAGTGCTAGGATTATAGAAGTATTCCATGAGGCCTAGCAAGGCAGTGCAAATTCTAGATAGAATATGTTAGGGGGAGAAAAATGTAATGTGGAAACAAACAAACAAAAACCCAGAGGGGAAAAAGCCTCAGAGCTGTGTCATTAAATAAGGCTTCCAGCCAGCTGGAGAGGACCTGAGTTTAGTTTCCAGAACTGATGTGAGGTGGCTTAAAGTCCCTCTGTCACTCCAGCTCCAGGAGATCTGATGCCTTCGGCCTCCACAGACACTTGTACTCATGTGTACACACTCACCTATATATGCTTTTAAAAATATAAATAAAATTTAAAATTATAACATAATTTTTAAAAACAGGGTCACCAAGGCAGATCTTGCGACTTAGGTGAATCTCAGGACTCAGATAGCTTAGGACTGGAGCAAGATCTAGAAACCCTTCTACACAATGCCACACCTTTGCTCCAATATTTCCACGGCTCCCTGTGACCTACACTCCGGAGCACAAGCCAGGCTGTCTTGGACGTCATGGTCTATCCATTTGCCTTTGGTTCAGCAGACCCCTTTCTCTCTACCTTGAGTATTTTATTCTCCACTCTCCTCCTCCCCCCATTTGTTCCTCTCTCTACTGCTTCAGAAGCTCTTTCTGCCAGGGAACAGGAGGACTAAAGTGTGGGTGCATCCACACTTCCTGAAGGCTTTAAGCCCCTGGGCCACTTGGCTCTACTCTCCTCCGGGACTGACCTTTACCACTAGGTCTGTAGACAGAGAGGCCCCAGTACTGTGCACGTGATTCTCACGACCCTCGTGAATTCCTGACTGTCTGATGCTCCATGGTCTCCATGAGGCCGTATAAACGAGACCAGCATCTTCAGCCATCTGACTTCCACCACCCATCACAGGAACGGCTTGGTTTTAGCAGGCAGCTGCTCTCAGAGCACCCCTGAGGCAGTCAGCGTGGCTTCTGGCCTATTTAGACAGATGGAGCCAGAGTCCAGGCCTGGGCCTCACCCTCGACTTCATCTCATCCGAGGGTGGCACATTTCCATCTAGGGACCTGAACTCCCCAGGGAGCCTGAACACAATCTGGACCCACAACTGCTGTCCTCTCTTGCCTCCCTCCCAGCATTTGTGCACTCAGTGGTCTGCTCTTGGAATGTCAAACCATGGATGGATGCCTTTCTGCCCTGAAGGCTGCATATCTGCCCTACTGATTCATAGCTCACATGGCAGCAGGGGATGCTATCTTGAGTTGTTGGGGGTGGTTTAAAATTCCCGTGCTTGTAGAGTCTGAGACGAGTGCCCGGCAGCTAGCAAGCTCTCAACTCATAGGAACTAAACAATCTTTAGTGGCACCTTGGACCAGACTAGCCTTCACACACCCTTTCTGGACACCAGGGAGAATCAGATCCTCCTCTTTGTGACGGCCACACTTTGAAGACCCCTCGTCCCATGTCATTTTAGGGAACTGCATGCTTAGACTATAGGCTTTTAAGTTCAGGAGCCAGATCAGGGCTGGATTGGTGATTTTTTTGAAAAATGATTTATTTATTTGCATTGGTGCATCTGTGTAAGGGCAGTGGATTCCCTGGAACTGGAATTACAGACAGTCATGAGCTGCCATGTGGGTGCTGGGGATCGAACCCAGGTCCTCTGGAAGAGCAGCCAGTGCTCTTAATTGCTGAGCCATCTCTCCAGCCCCCTGAACTGGTGAGTCTATGAGTGGAAGCTGTGCAGCTGGGAGAAAGATACCATAGCTGGGAGAACCAGACTGCCTGCCAGACTGCCTACTCCAATGTCTATGCTTAGATGAGTGGGTGGGCCCAGGGGGACCTTCCTCCTCCTCCCATGCATTTGCCTCCACAGGGCAAAGTTTAAAGCATGATCCGGTGGTATCGGCATCATCCAGGGGCTTGTTAGAGATGCTGCCTCCCAGAGCTGCCATCCAGGAATCAGTAGTGGTTCCGTACCCGTTGTGTATTCAGTGACAGGAAGAAAACTGGCCAGTGAGTTCCTTGTGCTGCCCTGTGACCACCCACCTCCCCTCCCTGTAGGCAAACTGCCGGCAGTTTCTTGTACACTCTCCAAGAGAAAAGGGGGCATGTACCCCTGGCAGGTACACACAGGGCATAGCATTCTACATACTGCCTGCATTATGGCTTTGCCCCCTAGATCATACACAGCTGTTACTCTTAAGCCTGAAAGCCGACTTATGGGGTTCAGGGTCCCCTAACCTGACTTGTTATGCTTACTAATGGTCCTGCCACAGGTGGGTAGCTTTTGCCCCTCAGTTCAGTACTCAGTGTAG